ACATTGCAGCTAATGGAGATGCTTCCTCATATTAACTTTCACTCCTGTTTTAAGATTTGCATTTAGAAGTTTATGCTTTGAGCCCAAAAGATACTGATTGCAATATAGTCCAAGGCCTTGGAACCTGTCTACTGTCCTGTGATATTTTTAAGGACTTTTGGACTATTGAGACGATCATTTGGCGCTCTTTTATTTGGCTTACCTATGCGTGATGGCAAATAACTGACTACATACGAGGAACTTTAATCATCACTCTTTCCAGGCATATTATGCTTTATAGATAGATATAGACAGACCAAAGGTTGACAAAATGCAAAGTCAAGCAAGTCTTGAGTACAGCCTCTTAATACTAGGGGCAAAGTCACCTGTTGGAATTGTTAACTCTGCAAATGCTGATTGAGGCCAAGCATTTCCATGGAATTCTGCAGGTAATAGAACACCTATGAGTGTGGGTGGAGGATTGCTAGTCCCAATACTTCAGAAGATGCGAGTTATGCTTGCAGTGTAAGGGTTACCTATTTCATGGCAGATCAGTGTATTTTTTTTATTAAACTGTTATCAGCTGTGATGACCTTTTTATCTGTGTTATTGCATTTCATCAGTTATTAAAAAAAAACATTCCCTGGGAGGAATGTAATAGCACAATGTACCTTAATCCCTTCGCAATAAGAAATGTCCCCGTTCACTCCATGCTGCAGAAAAACACCACACCCTAAAAGAAAAGGCTGGAAGGCTGTAACCCCAAATGTGCATACATGTACGCATAGTTCATGTTATATTACTTATATGGGATGATTTATGAGGCTTTAAGCCAGACTAGAAAGCTTTTTCATTTTAGCCCAGTCACAGCAGGACTCTGTGAAGCCTTAAGGTGCCCATGCACCTTACGATTATCGTCCGAAACTTTTCGCCCGACGATCGAACCGTCGTACGATTGTCGTACGGCGGCCCCATCCTGCCCTGATTATCGCAAGGTTCAATTAGCGGTAGTTAAAAAAAAAACCACCTGGACGAATTGCGGTAATTGACTGCATGTATTTTTGTTTGCGCATGAGCAGTGTTAATCGTACGACTTTTGACGTACGTAAACGCCACCAACCTTGCGAAAATCATACGATCGACTGAAGTTTCGGAACATGCAGGAAAGACAAAAGTTGTACGATTGTACAGTACTGGCGGTTGCACACTACCCATACACCTGACGATTGTCGTACGAAAAGTCGATCGCATACGATTATCGTACGATAATCGTAAGGTGTATGGGCACCTTTGCTCTAGCCAAAATTCCACTGAGCAGCAGCTTAAGGGGTTGTGTTAATGGCATCTGTTTGACATCAATTTGAGATCATTCGAAATTTGACAGGTGCGAATGACCTGAAGTAGAGTGTGTTTTGCATTTCCATAGACTTGTATGGGAATGCAAAACCTACTTAAAGCACACAAGACCATCAATGCAGCCCCTTAGTGTGTAATTTCCTGTCCTGCAAGAACTTCTGGGACAAGGTTAGCCAGGGGTGCTTAGTGGCAGTCCATTAGATGCACCTTGCCCACAAATTGTTTAAAATGCTTATACCACAGATGTAGCTATTATTATTTATTATTATTATTATTCAGGACTTTTATATATAGCACCAACAGTTTGTGCAGCGCTTTTCAATATAAGGAAGATGATCACAATGCAATTCAAGACAAGATGGTAAGGAGGACCCTGCCCCTGAGGGCTTACAATCTAAAAGGGAAGGGCGAGTGATTCATGAGGAAATTGCTGTGTGGGAATTGATTATTTGAGAACGTGATGGTTGAGGTGGGATAGACTTCCCTGAAGAGATGAGTCTTAAGGGATAGCCAGCATGGCCAGGCCTAAGTCCTAAGTGTAAATAATACAGTATTTCTGTCTGTCCAGATGTCCATTCTTCCTATATCTCTCTGATTAGATGTCAGTCCATATGTCTAGTTGGACTTCACGTTGCATGATATTTTATAGAAAATGCTGTGCACTTAGCTAAATGTCATGCCACATTGATTGGTTCATGGCTTTTGACTGTAGCCTTATCAGGTGAAGGAAGTAAGAGAGTACTCTCGTTTTTGCCTATTATAGCAATTAATCTTTAGGTTTATGAAAGAAGTGTGTTTTAAAATGAAGGCCATTTCAAGGTTTTGCTTGGCATAGTATTCAAGCTTAGTCCTGTCCTCAGGTGGAAAGGTTCAGTCTCATGATATCCAGAGCCGTGAGGCAGTTAATTCTGATCACAAGACTGTCTGGGTTTAGATCTTGTACCACGCTGAACCTGTAATAGGATTCGGTGCTCTCTCACAGCACTGAGAAATCCTTTTCATTATTCTTGAACTTTTCCCTGTCCGGTTGGTTCAGTGCCAATGTAACCTCTGTATAGCATTGCTTGTCCCGCAAATTACAAATTATAGTTGTAGAGTCACCACACAATAATTTGTGATGGTCATGCTAGGCAGTGGTCAAACATGGGGTATTTTAGTTGTCCATTGCAAATTAATAATTTTTAAAAAATGGTCTAAACCATCACTTCTCAACCTTTTTTAACATCAGGAGCCCCCCCTTAACATCAGGAGCCCCCCCTTAACATCAGGAGCCCCCTCCTTTCACATCAGAGCCCCCCTTTCACTATAAGCTCTCCTGTACACCAGAACCCCATCCTTTCACATTGGTGTCCCCCTTAACATCACAAGTTTTCATTCACACCAGAAGCCCCACCTTCACATCAGAAGGCCCCCTCCCCTTCATCCCAAGATCCCCCTTTCACATCAGAGTCTTTTATTACATCAGAGTTGCCCCTTCACATCCAAAGCCTTCCTGCATCATGAAAGGTATGGCGGTGTATGAAAATGTTGAGGATTTCCTGAGGAAGCCAGAAGGCTAATCCAAATGCTTTCAATCCATCTAGTTAATTGACCTGCAGGCTGCCATTGCGTGAATACCTTTTGATAATGCTAGTTTTCTGGCTGTCACACTGGCTCCCCAGCTTCAATGGCTTCTGAATCACTGAACTGGAACAACTATTCAGATCAGGAAAATTTCAGAGTGAAGTCAAAAGGTCCTATCTGTATACTGGTTCTGGGTCAGTGAATCAAAATATTGAGGTAAGAGGGTCAGGATACCAGTCAGGAAACTATCATTTGCAGACTGACATGCAGTAATGGTAGCTTCCCTGTTTCTCTCAGGAGAGGAGCATTGAGGCAAGCTTGCTACATATTAAGCAATATCACATTGTTGTAAAACTGAGTGAATCAGTGTAGCAATCTGTTTCATTCTTTTAAATTAACATTGTTACTGTTGCCAAATCAGCTCTTTTGGCACCTTTCATTAAACTGATTTAAAATCTCTGAACAGCAGCAATTGGCACAGAGCTGAAAGAGCTTGATGCTGCCCTGTGCCTGGACACTGCGGATCTTTAAATCATTTGCACAGTGACAGCCTTTGCAGATAAAAAATGTTCTTTATCTTGTTAATAGTATTACACTGCCCTATGGAACCCTAATCTTGTATAGAATAGAAAGCTGCTATGCTCAAAGTGTAACCACTTGTAGTTATGTGAATCAAAAAGAGCACAGTGCTAAATATTCAGAAGAGTAACCGTGTATAAAGTGCAATCTAGTGCTAAATCTGTTAAATGAAGATAATTATATAAATCACATAAAAGTGCAATTCAGATAATACTTGTAATTGATAAGCAATAAATATTATAAGTGACCAATCAATGGTACATATGCAATAAATACTATAAATGGGTAAAGTGTCAAACAATAGTTTGTGATAGTAATGTAATACCAGTGTGCTCCACACACTAATTTGTGTCTTAAGATGATTGTGATTAAATCCCTATGTCCTAAACAATTCCGTAAAAGAAAGTGCCCAAATATTCTTCAATGCATCCAAGTGCTAAGAACAGAATAGAAAGTGTCACTCTCCTCGTGAATGAACACCGCTTCCTTTCAGCGCACTCACCGGAAATAAACGACCATCTAAAGTTAGATGGTCAGATAAGGCATGATGTAATAATGTATCAGAGCCACATGCAATTGCTTATCCGGTACATCCATTGTTCCTTCGCAATCCAAAACCACTTGGTCTCCCAATCCAAATCCAATGATCACCGCTCACATCACCATATCAGAAAAAAATAATAATCGCTCATTGTGCAGTAAGATCTCAACAAGGTTTATTATAGAATATAAGATCTGAAATTAATGGTAAAAGCCGCGCGGCTTTTACCATTAATTTCATTAATTTCATACGTTATATCTGACCACACAGATTTCAGCTGCTGCTTAACTTGATTAGAGTAGTGGCGCGAGGTTTCACATCATTCAGAATATAAGATCTACCCGCATTTAAAAGCTTAGAAACTTGCCGGCAGATTTCAACAGTAAAATGACAGCGCGTTTTCATCGCAAACATCCGGAAAAGGTAACGTCAGCAGGGTCAGATGGTGTATGCAGTCTTCTATCATGCTACTGTTTACTGCATTATTTAGCTGCTCAGCTTTTGAAAAGAAGAAAACAATGGCATAACTATAGTGATTAGCCAATGGATAGCCAACGGATAGCCAACTTCTGGTCAACAAAGGCCTACTGGCCCCAATTCTAGATTGAGCTCAGTCAACACAGACCTACTGGTCCGAATTCTAGATTTAGCTCAGTCACCACAGACCGCTGGCCTTAACTTTAGATCAAGCCTAGTCAACACAGATCTACTAGTCCTAATTGTAGATTGAGCTAAGTTGACACAGACCTGGAGGCCTTAATTCTAGATTGAACCTAGTAAACACAGACCTATTGGCTCTCACTCTAGATCAAGCCTAGTCAACACAGACCTACTAGCACTGACTCTATACTAAGGCCTGCATATACTTCTTGATTTTTCATGTTTTGAACTGCTTTCTGAAATCTAACCATTTCTAAATTTTATCGGAGTTACTTTGTAGTAGACATGTTAATTAATTAAAGAATTGTCACTTCTCTTGCAGGTAATATTATTGGCTCTGGTATATTTGTATCACCTAAAGGAGTACTGGAAAATGCTGGTTCAGTGGGAATGGCACTCATCGTCTGGATTGTTACAGGCATTATCACTGCAATAGGAGCTCTGTGTTATGCTGAGCTTGGAGTCACTATCCCAAAGTCTGGAGGAGACTATTCATACGTTAAGGATATCTTTGGGGGACTTGCAGGGTAGGTGTTGAATCTACTAACAAGGGGGAAACTTGAACATTACACTGTACAGTAAACTCTCAGTTATCTGGTATTCAACTAACAAACTCTCATCTAACCAGAAAAAAAATCCCATGTGCACTCACTGTTTTGCTAATATGGGGCATGTATTATCCTGGAAATGATTGTGTGTCTATTTGTCTTTGCTTTTGATTACTGCATTTCAATATTATTGAAGTCAATAAAGAGTGTGTTATAATATGGTATAGTATGGGGTATGGCATTAGCTAGACTTATTTTTATTAGTAACTCTCAAGCAACCAGAAATTACATTTATCCAGAATCTACCAATCCCCATGGATGCCGGATAATGGGGAGTTTACTGTAGTAAGATAGCTCTGGTGATCTACCTCAGTTCACGGTCTGTCTATTTCATTGCAGGTTCCTCCGACTATGGATTGCTGTCTTAGTGATTTATCCTACAAATCAAGCAGTCATTGCACTGACCTTTTCCAACTATGTACTGCAACCTCTTTTCCCAACGTGTTTTGCCCCTGAGTCTGGACTTCGCCTCTTAGCAGCTGTCTGTTTGTGTGAGTAACATACACTGTAATAACACCTGTATCAATATAACACCTGTCTATCAATATAACATTTTTAAGTGGTATGTCATTCAAAGATATTGTATCCAGGTATGATAAACTTATTTACTTAACCCTAACTATGATCACTGAGAAGATCTACAATATTGATGTATATGCTGTCTAAATACCCATTATACATTGCTTTATGGGAAACACAGAGCCATTTACATCAGCCCTGCTGGAGCTAACAGTTACAGTTCTCTACAGCTTCATACATAAAACCAGGGTCAGAGTAGGCATAAGGCAGTGGTGTCGATGTGTTGTAGATTGTATAATGAAACCAGAACAATTAGGGGAATCCTATGAAGTATCAAGCAAGGAAGAAACTAAAAACCTTAGCACTGCAAGCCAGCATTGCTAACAATTGAGTAATATATAGTACTATTAAAGCTTTTTATAAAGTCAGAGGCTCCCATAACTACCTCAAACTTCATAATGTTACCATTACTTTAACTACTGCCAATGTAGTCTGTGAAATCTGGCTTGAGAATTCATTATCAACTATTTCATTTAAATTCTGAGAACCACAATAGAGGTTCACAGGAGTACTATAAGTATACTTTTGCTGGTTTCTCTAATGTAATTTGCAAAGATCACAGCCAACATGAGAAAAGAGAGAGAGATTTTTTACCATGTCATAGATAATGATTGACGTAACACTTAATGCCTCTAAGATATATACTTTACGCTTGCACAGAGCTCAATCCAAAGCTGGTCATAAATGTGAGCTGGTGGTTGACATATTGCGTTTGTGGAATGCCTGGAGGAGTTTGCATTGAGCAGATACCCTGAGAGACAGTGTTCAATGAGCGGCAAATACCAGTTGCCCAGCAAAATGAATCCAAGATGATCACAATTTTTTCTCTAAAACTGGTCAACCGGTAGTGTCTACAGGAGTCTTTAACCACTTGCTGACCAGGGTGTTTACAACCCTTTCCTGACCAGGCCATTTTTCAGTATTCAGCGCTGCGGTACTTTGGCTGACGTTTATTCCGTCATCAACGCTGTACTGAAATTTATTTTATACCATTTTTTGGGGACCGATAGAGCTTTCTTTTGGTGGTATTTAATCACCACTGAGGTTTTTATTTTTTACTATATAACAAAAAAAGTAATGAATATTTTTTTTTAAAAATGGTTTTCCCTTTATTATTTTAGGAAACATTTATTTTTACCCAATTTTTTGCTAAAATATAAAAGTCGGGTAAATAGACACCAAACATGTCAAGCCTTAAAATTGCGCACGCCCGCGAAATCGCAAAAAAACACGATGGCCAAAATTGGTCAGAGGCGACGCTTTAAAAGCTATTACCGCTCATCAATTTAGTGTCATCAGTGATTGATGGCCCTAAAATTATTGCACTCATTGCGACGTTTGCGGCGATATGTAACACGTGCGGCATAATTGGAGCAATCGTCGTTTTTGCATGTCGCATTTATGTGGGGGTGGGGGACTTTAAAAAAAAAAATTGTGTTTTTTTTTGTTTTGTGTACATTTTTATGAGCAATTATTTTTTTTAAACTTTTTTTACACTTAACTTTATTGTTATCACATAGGGTACTTCTTAGCACCCTATGTGATAACAAATTACAGTGATGGGTCCCCTTTATGGAGACATCAGCAGTCTCTAAGACCCCTAATGTCACCTAGGGACCCCAAGAGAAGCTGATGAAGCACAGATCTGCTCCATCAGCTTCTCTCCGGTTTCTGTACTGGAGAGTGACAGAGGAATGCGGAAGTGATGTAATATACATCACTTCCTGCATTCAGAGACTGGGAGGAGAGCGGAGGGAGATCGGGTCGTGATCTCCCTCCGTTCTCAGTGCACAGACATTGCCCGGACCGGATGGATGCCCGTGATAGCGGCGGCGGGGACAACGACGGTGACCAGAGGTAAGGAGGGGGCGCACCTTCACTTGTATCATACAAGCGATCGGGTGATGGCCGTTTAAAATCCTTGGGGACGCACGCGGGCACGAAGGACGTCTAAAGACGCCCACCCTCATTCAGGAGACTCACATCCGGCCGTCTTTCAACGATCGGCGGACGGGAGGTGGTTAAACTGGCCTTAGACATACAAACAATGTCATGTTTGGTTCATTGAGAGCAGCGGTTCTCAACCTGTGGGTCGCGACCCCCCTCGGGGGTCGAATGACGATTTGCCAGGGGTCGCCTAAAGACATCCTAACTCTCCCGGAGTCTAGTCTCCCGCTATTAGATGGCAGCTCCCGGCCGCCCGGGAGAGAAACACTTTCTCCTGGAAAGGTTTACTCTGCTCGATCGAGCAGAGTAAACCTTTCCCTGTTCTGGTGTTTTTTGTTTTTTTCTGGCATCGGAGCCGCCGTCAGTCAGAAAAAAAAAAAGCATAGGAATGCATAGCTAGATTCCTATTGGCTATTTTACTTTGCAATAGCAAACTAGCTATTGCACCCACCCACTGCTGCTGTCAATCAGCAGTGGGGGGCCTGAAGTTCTCCATCGGGTCCGCTTCTAGTGATTGACAGCAGCAGAGGGCGGGTGCAATAGCCAGCTTGCTATTAGATATTGCAAATTGAAATAGCCAATAGGAATCATCTAGCTATGCCTTCCTATGCTGGGATTTTTTTTTTATGACTGACGACAGCCGGCGACTCCAATGTCAGAAAAAAAATAAAACCAGAGCAGGGAAAGGTTTACTCTGCTTGATCGAGCAAAACAAACCTTTCCGGGAGAAAGTGTTTCTCTCCCGGGCGGCTGGGAGCCGCTTTCTAACGGTAGCAAAATTTCAGCGACGAAGGAGCAACGAAAATAATTTTACTGTTAGGGGTCGCCACAACTTTATCAAAGGGTCGCGGCACTAGAAAGGTTGAGAACCGCTGATTTAGAGCACGTCCAACACCTTCTTGATTTGCTTTGAGATATTAAATAAGTGTGATCTGCAGTATCTGTAAGTGTCTTCATCATATGGCTTTACGTTTAAACAACTGCATCTATCCAACCTAATTAAATACACACAACACAACTGCAGTTGGCTGGTAGTCAATGTGAATATACAACCACAACATGCTTGTGTAAGCGCTTCTGTAGAGGGTTTGAATTTGATGTGGATTTAAAGCAGCAGAGTTTCTCACTAGATTCCCTTTGACCTCAATAAAGTAGTATAGAGCACAGTTCAGAGGCTGCATTTGACTGTTTCTTTGGTCGAAACATGTCCTATTGAGGTGGCATTTAAATTCCAGACAAAGCAGGTCAGCCTCTGTATTTTGGACTCAAGCATGGGCAGCAGTGTATTCAAATGGAAAAGGCTACATTTCTAACCCAAGGGAATGTATCTCTATACACACAACAGACACCTGGTTAGTAGTTCCAGGGAAGGATATTGCAAATTGGTATATGAATATCTGCATTTTGTATATTTTACAACATTTTTACACATAGATTAGTGTGGCTGAATACATGATTAGAGGGTTGGTGAAGACTGTCACTACAGCACCATGTATAATACGTATTGAAAAGCAGAAATGGCACATTTATCATTTGTAAATGGCTTATTTAAATTGGAGTGCCAATAAGCTGATATACAGATGGAGTACATTACTATTATCTAAACTGCTCCGCCTTGCTTTTCTCGGTATAGCTGCCTACAGAGATTAGATGGTGGACAGCCATGCATTCTGAATCCTGCCACTGGACAATTTTCTTTTACGCAAAAGCTTTTTCTAGGAAGTTGTTGCAAGTTCCTATCAAGTTAAAGGATACAGTGCTATCACTGGAGCCTGTAGGCACACAAACTTTGGTGCCAAAACCACCATCACTGTTGTGATCACCTCTTTTACAATGTTTATATCCTAGTTTTGAACATTGTGACAATGTGTAAATATTGGTTGAATTTCTAATGATTGTAAAACAAAAGTGTGGCTGACTCTTTGCCTCTTCTGTCTAATAAGCACAGGCCTACTGTGCTCAATGGTACAACCATCCTATAGTGGAGGGAGGAGATGGGCATGCTATTGGCATCTGCTGTCCAAACAATCAATTTTGGATCAACTTTACCCCAAACAGGTTTGGCCATTCTTTAAAGCCCAACTCCAGCTAAAACATATGTTTGGTTTTAGTTGGAGTTGGAAAAGGCTATAACCTCTGTCAAGTTCTATCAAGAGATGGCAATCAGTAACTGACAGAGGTTCTTACCTTGCTCTAATGTAAGAAAAATGCACCATGCAGCACCTCTACTATGTCGCATCACATAGGTGTGAATGGGGCTTGCATGCAAAGAGCAAATTTGAATGATTCTGGATGAACCAGCAAAATTTATCAGAGGGGCCTGTGCATGTAAGCCCCCATTCACACCGATGTGATGTGACGTGACATAGCTGAGGTGCTGCATGGTGCATTGTAATGCACTGTGTAAGCCCATTCATTTTGTATGGGCTGCCTACAAGAGTTAATAGGGCACTCAAAGAGGTGCAAGCAACTTTTTATTTTTTTATTTTTTTCACCGCATCATATGTCATATGGTTACCATGTGATGTGGTGCAATACAATGCACAGCTAAGTTTGTTTCGGTGCCATTAAGAAATAATTGCACTGCATAGCTCACCAGCTAACATTGCAACATGCGATGCAGGATCTCGTGCAGCAACGCACATGCACCCACATTGCATATATGTGAGCTGAGCCTTAGTGTTTTGACATTGTGTTGCAGTATAATCTTACTAGCAGCTGATCATACAGATTGAAATAAACTTTGCTGTTTGTCTAATGACCTATAACCAGACAGACTGTAGATGAAAAGGGTGCTGTTACGAAGGGGGATGTGATACACGTCTACCTTTTTATATGCGGGGTAGAAGATATGAGGAGATTGAGTTAAATTGTGTACACAATGCCCTTCAGCCACTACAAAGGATTGATGACTAGCAAATGAATCGGTCACTGTAGGTCACCATAGGAGAAACAATAGCTGTAA